AGAAGTACGACGAGAAAGCCAGAGATATGCTCCGACGGGAAAATGCGAGACCACTCCACGCATCGAAAGGAGAGCCATGGAGCAACTAGACACGTTCTCCACGCCTCCGAGGGAAGATAGTGCATGGGTGAGAGGACAGCGGGAACTATCAATGACAGACGCAACAGAGACTGATCATCCCTGGCATGCGTATGTCTACTGGGAGTATTGCAGCGAAGATGACTGCAAGCTCCACTGGAAAAAGAAACACCAGAATCAGTTGTTTCCCCGATCCTCGCCCAGGATACACTTCAGAGACGCAGAGCAAGTTCATGCCCTCAGGCGAAGCCAGTCTGAAGGGACTTGCCTATCAAAAGCGAACAGGTATACGAGAAATACCCACATCTGCTAGACGAAGCAGAAGAGCGAGGGAAACGATCTCCCCAAGGACCACCATTGGAAGCGGATGAATACTATCTTCCTCGGACGAGTCAAAAAACTAGGAGTCCTCGACGGTAGGCCACCGGCGAGCGACACGAAGAGGCCTAGTACAGACCAGCTATGCGCCACGACGGGCAGCATGCAACTATATGTGGTCGCTAAGATACAACAGCGACACCTCCGAGCAATGATTGACTCAGGAGCGACGGGCAACTTTATGACAAAGAAAGTAGCAGACACGCAAGGTTTCAAGACGCAATTGAAAACCGAACCATACCCGTTAATGGTCGTAGATGGAGAGCCCATCTCGACTAATGAAGGAATGGTGACCCACGAACGGTCCCATTGGAAATGGTCATGCTACACGGGCACAAGGAAACGATTCAGTTTGACATCGTGCACATGGACAACCATGCGTGCATCCTTGGTATGCCATGGCTCAAGAAACACAACCCCCAGATCGACTGGTGGAACGAGAAAGTTGTGATGAGCCAGTGCGCGTGTGAACAACGGACGGACACGCGACAACGGGAGAAACCCTCCCAGGGCCGGAAGGAGTTATGTGCAACCTCCGAGCTCGATGACCTAGCCCAGGCATCCTCACCGACGAGTATACCGGTGGAGTACAAGGAATACAAGCAATTATTCCAGGAAGGCCCTAAGAATGAGGCGCTTCCTAAGCACCAACCATGGGATCACGAGATACCTTTGGAGAAAGACAAGAGTCCACCGTTCGGACCAATATATCAGCTATCGGAAAGGAGCTGAAGGTACTTAAGGAGTACATCGATGATAACCTAGCGAAAGGATTCATCAGACATCCACATCACCAGCAGGAAGTCCGGTGCTTTTCGTACCAAAGAAAGATGGCTCCCTACGGTTATGTGTGGACTATCGAGCGTTGAACAACATCACAATCAAGGACAGGTATGCCCTGCGTTAATCAACGAACTACACGATAGATTTCAAGGAGCAAAGATCTTCAGTAAGCTAGATCTGCGAGGAGCATACAACCTGATCCGAATCAAGGCTGGGGAAGAGTGGAAAAGAGCATTCCGCACCGCTATGGCCTATTCGAGTATCAAGTCATGCCCTTTGGGCTAACAAACGCACCCGCATCTATGCAACGATGATGAATGATGCTTTGCACGAATACTTAGACATCTTTACCATTGTCTACCTAGACGATGTCCTGGTGTATTCAGCAACCAAGGAGGAGCATGTCAAGCATGTCAAACTCGTCCTGAAGAAACTAAAGGAGTACAGCTTACTCCTCAAACAGAGAAGTGCGAGTTCCATAAAACCAAGTCGAATTCTTGGGTTACATTATTGGAACGCACGGCATCAAGATGGACCAAGCAAAAGTAACGGCAGTGTTGGAATGGCCAACACCGACCATGGTCAAGGAAGTGCAAGCCTTCTAGGCTTCGCCAATTCTACCGAAGATTCATCTCGGGATATTCCAAGGTAGCTCAACCACTCACGGAGCTTACCAGAAAGGATCTCGAATTCAAATGGATGGGACAAGGCAGAGGCTGCTTTCAGGAACTTAAGACGAAGTTCACGGAAGCACCTATCCTTGCTACATTTGACCCTGCAAAGAAGATCATCCTCGAAACGGACTCTTCTGACTTCGCAATTGGAGCATGTCTGAATCAACCAGACGAGAACGGTAAGTTCAACCAATCGCGTACTACTCTAGGAACTGTCACCCGCGGAACTCAATTACGACATCCACGACAAGGAGCTACTGGCTATTGTCGTTGCCTTTGAGCAGTGGCGAGTATATCTTGAGGGACCACCTACCCTGTGCAGGTATGGACGGATCACAAGAACCTCATATACTTCACCACGACCAAGGTTTTAAACCGCAGACAAGTCCGCTGGGCAGAAACCCTCGCAGCCTACAACTTCACGATACCTATCGCAAGGGCTCCGAGAATGCAAGAGCAGACGCTCTCAGCAGACGGACCGACTACGCCGGCCCAAAGGAAGAAAGACCTAGAGCAATTCTGAAGAAAACAGATGCAGGAATACAGTACAACGAGTTACTAGCGACGATCTCAGTCATCGAAGATACAGAACTCGAGGAAAGACTCAAGAAAGCTTACGCACAGACGAATGCGCCAAGCGAGTCTTGTCCAAAGTCGAAGGCGACTTCACCATCGACGAACAAGGATTGATTCGATACAAGGGTTAGTGTATGTCCCAAGTCAAATGAGACGCCCGCTGGTGCAAGAACAACACTCGTTACCAGCACACGGTCATCAGGGAGTAACACGAACCTTCGAACGAATCACTCGACACTACTACTTCCCAGGTATGAGGAAGCAGGTAGAGACAGTGGTAAGAGAGTGCGACATTTGCAGCAAGTCAAAATCCAATAGGCACCTGCCATACGGACAACTCAAGTCGACACCAGTACCAAAAGGAGCGTGGAAATCAATAGCTTTGGACTTCATCGTCAAGCTTCCACCCTCCAAGGACCCGTTAACAGGAATAGAATACGACTCTATCCTCGTCATCACGGAAAGACTCACGAAATATGGGAAGTTTATACCATATCTAGAAGCTAGCGACGCCGAGGCGCTCGCATATACCTTCATTCGAGTCATATTAGCCGATCATGGGATGCCAGAAGAAATCATCTCAGATAGAGACAAGCTCTTTACTTCGAAATTCTGGAAATCATTGATGGCGCTACTGGGAACAAATCATAAGCTGTCAACAGCTTTTCATCCCCAGACAGACGGCCAAACAGAAAGATTAAATCAGACCCTTGAACAGTACCTGCAAAGCTATGTCAATCATCAACAGGATAACTGGGTTCAGATCTTACCCATCGCACAGTTTGCATATAACAGCGCGATGACAGAAGCAACGAAAGTCTCACCGTTCTTTGCCAATTATGGCTACCAGCCAGAAGCATATAGGCAACCAAGACCGGATGAATCACGAGCTGAACAAGCCCTGATCGTGGTGGAACAACTGAGATCGTTCCACGAACAACTTGCGACGGACATCCAATTCTTAAATGAACGATCCGCCGCATACGCAAACAAGAAGCGCAGTATGGAACCTGCCTTCAAGGAGGGGGATAAAGTATACCTACTCCGGAAACATATCAAAACGAAACGACCAAGCACAAGTTGGACTTCAAGAAATTGGGACCATTCAAAATATTGAACAAAGTCAGCTCAGTTAATTACAGACTGCAGCTACCCAGGAAGTCTAGACTACACCCGGTATTTCATGTCTCACTACTGGAACCAGCAAGAGGAAATACCCCAGTTGCGACCGACACCGAACTCCAACCCGAGAATGAGATAATCGAATATGAGGTCGAAGCGATCCTAGACAGAAGGTTAGTAGGACGTCGAGAAGAGTTTTTGATAAAATGGGAAAATTACGAACCTACGGATAATTCGTGGGAACCAACAAGGAACATCAGCAAAGAACTGCTGGAGGAATATCGACGCCGCCATCCGCCAGCCATTGATCCCAAGATGCAGGGGAGTAGGCCAGTGGATCGGAGGAAGCGGAGGTCCCGGTCACAGACGAGGAGGCAGCGCTAACTGCCTGTTCCTCGACCTCAACAGCATCACGCTTCTCAGCAGCCACACGTTCGGCCTCCTCTGCCGCATCAAGCTCGTCGAGGGTTTTCAAACCTCGCCGGAGCATATCTTTACCACGGGTTCGGATGAGGCGTTTCTGCTTCCGCAGACGAAGTAACTTCGAAAGAGTTTCTTCCTCTTCGCGATCCAGGCGATCCTCCTCCCGTTCGAGCTTCACCCAGTCGGGATGCTCAGGACCCATACAGTCACACTTTTCTTTCAAGTTGCGACGAACGCACTCGGCGCACCGCCGCGAATCATTTGGAGACGACACGCAAGTAATGTTTCGCCTCACGCAGTTCGAGCAAGAATCCATTTCGGGTAGTTCGTATCCGTGGTTCTTTATTCGACGGACAAGATCGTTGCGTTCCTGGAGTTTGCGGGCAGTGTCAGTAGGCATGTTGCATGTTGAAGGACTCGCTGAGGAGCAGCAGAGTCCCGGGGACATGGACGTACTTATAGGATTCGAGACGAATGCCCAGGGGAAGGGAGCGAGTGTTACGACGGAACAAGAAGGCTGGCCAACTACAGGACAGGAAGGAGGGAGGTCGCATGAGTCCGGCCCTGGTACCTGGAGGGGCAGCGGGGAATAGTAGTTCCGAAAGTATCACGTGACGGACTCGCAGGATGATGAGAAGAGTCCTAAGAGTCCAGGACTCCGAGGACTCGAGTGAGTTCCCAGGAGTCCACTAGGCACGTGACAGACTCGCAGGATGATGAGAAGAGTCCTAAGAGTCCAGGACTCCGAGGACTCGAGTGAGTTCCCAAGAGTCCACTAGGCACGACGCCACTATATAAGTAGATAGTATTTCCTTAGATAGGAGCTTCGTGCTCAACTCAATACAGTATTTGTTATATACTAGTAACGTGTTACTTGAAGCCTTTGTGTCTGATCCCCTGCCTCCTCTGATAAGTAAACCTTTACGCAAGAGAATCTCTGTGTCTTCTATCGTTTAGAAGTCAGCGTTACACCGATATCTTTTGTGTCACACCTGAGGTGTTTATGACAAACTGGACAAATCCCGAGCATGGCTCGGAAGTGTTGTTAGCTGTCTTAATGCCAAGCATCTCCTGCTGGACGACTTCCAGGCCTAGTTGGCGACAGGTTGCCTCAGACATGATGTTGATCGAGGCTCCACCGTCTACCATACAGAGTGGCAGATCGTACTTTTGCCATCCACGGGCAACATCCTGTGGTGGTTCATCCTCCGAATGGTGTGCGGTTGACATCAATTGTCTTCGGGACGGGTGGACATATTGGCTATCAGGTGTGGCTGCATTTGCTGAAGGTCCTTGGGTTGAGGCGTTTCTCTGGTCGAGGTCCTTTTGACGGTTTGACTCGCGCTGTTCCCATGTAGCTTGAGGTAAGTTGCAATCTCGAAGGAAATGCCCGTACTTCCCACAATTATAGCACATTACTCTCTGAAGGGTATTTTGTGCCGTTTGGTCTTGCTTGTTTGCGTACGTGGTCGCATTAAAGCCTTGACGAGGAGGTCCTTGGGGCCGCGGACGAGGTTGTGACATAATTCGCTGGTTCTCAGCCAGTACCGATTGCTGTGCCGTAACTCGTTCATCCCTTTGATAAGTGTGTCAAGTTTGTCTTCGTCGGAATTCAAACCCGTAGCACCTGCGCCAATGGTTTGCCAAGTAATTTCCTTCTTGGTCCCTTTTGTTACTGACGGGGTTGCGTCCTTTAGATCCAAAGTGCTTGTGATAAAGTTGACTATAAATGGCAGGTCGACAGTAAGGTCCGGGTTGGATTTCTTCTCGGCATTGATCCCGCTTCGAACAGCGAATCTGAGGGGGTCATGGCTAAGGCCCTCAATGAGTTGATCCCCGAGATATTCCTGCTTTTCCCAGTCTGTCAGGTGTGCCGAAAGGGTTTGAGCTCGACTAAGGTAGTCTTGAACCTTCTCTCCTTTGTCTTGTGACATTGTCATCGCTTTCTGTCTTGCGTCCTTTTCGACAATCTTTCTTGGGATTGGCGGGAAACGACTTCGGAGATCTTGACAGAATTTGTCGAAAGATATTTCGGGTATCCTGTTTAATAAGTCTGAGCCAAATGTTGCCGCCGCTCCTTTGAGGGCACCTTGTAACATCATAACCCGCGCAAACATCTTGTCTGTGGCTGTGGTGTCTGGTCCCCATCGTTTGCCAAGGCTTTCTGCTGCAATTCGCGCAGCCATAATTGAGACTTCGATGTTCTCCGTTGGCTCTCCTGAGAACGCCGGGACTTTCATTGCGTTTGCCATGTTTGATTCCTCGTCACTATCGTCGTCCGATTCTTCAGAGAGGGATTCGTACGGTGGCTCTAGTTGCTCTTCTGATGAGTGTACTGAGTCGAGTCCTCCTCCAACGTGGGAAAGATCTTCTGGCCTTGCGATTTCGATTTCTTCCGGTGATAAAGGGCTTTGCTGTGATGTTTGATCTTGCGAGGGGAATCTATGTGGTGGCGGGGTGTGTAGCGGTTCGTCAACAATGTCCTCTTCACGTGGTGCTGGTCCTGCCTCAGAGTCTGCTCCTGTCTCTTGGGGCGTGGACTGCGCGTCCTTCTGTTCTTCTGGAGAAGACACTTTGGGTGGTTGGCGGTTGACACCGTCTTATCCTTCTGTTTTGGATAGCGGAAAGTGATGACGTAGTTGAGTGGTGGGGATCGACTGTTCCTTCCCGTTTGGTTTCAGCAATAGGGCGCTCCTTCTGCCTTCTGGGTTGGGGTCGCGGCCTCCAACTTGCAGTTGCTGTCCAGTGCGTTGTCTCTTCGTGCCTTCCTCTGCCCCTTGTTTACTCCGACTGGGAGTCTTGGGCCAAGGTCGTCAAGTTCGGATTGACTGATAGGTTTTCGACTTCGATGTCAGCCGGTGGCTCTTCTCTCCTCGTGAGAGTATAATGTAATCTCTTCTCTTGCTTCTGCAAGACACAGCGCTCCTGACCTTCGGAGGTCCTTCGTCTGTTGCTCTCGAGGCTGACGGTGCTTGATCTTCCGGAGATCTCTGGTGTAACGATGTTCACGGGTCGTTCAGAAGCCGTTATGGTAAGAATAGTTGCTCTTAGTAAAAGGTTGGATTCATCCCGGATTAGGCCCCCAAGTGTAGCCTACGGAGCAACATGGAATAATGTGTAACGGTGATAACGATGACGATCGTATTACTATTCTTGATGATGCTCTGAAGAAGAGACAATCGGCTATCCGATGTTCCATCTATACTACGCTATGTCACGTGTTGGTTCACATCTCCCTCATGGAGCTGATCACCATCTGTTATCTTATCTAATCTAATCTAATCTTATCGCACCGATTAGATTTTTCGATCTTGGCATTTTCGATAGAACCGGCAACGTCATCCTCCAACGCCGCACAAAACTGGTCTTCCCCATCCAACTTCAGCATTCTATACCTTCTTATTTGGTGATCTAGAGTTCCCATGACTCCGCGACTATATAACTCAGCAACTTTGCCACTGATCGTGCGGATTGGCTTCGGCCGCGCCGTGCCTGTGTAACCTCGAGGCTACACTCCCAGGTCCCGAAAGAGGTGACTGGGGCGGATTTGGCAGGGCCCTGAAGCATCATAACGCGTACAGATCGTGTCACCGCACCCAGAACTTCGTGTCATATAAACACACAAACTCACAAATTCCCGCTCTCACTCGGCGATGAGTCGCAAACCCATCGTGGCGGGCCTCAATCGTCGCCAGTCCTCGACCCCACACTACCAGACTTTCCCCACAGCCCCTCCACGAACTCGCGGGAATGCGCTCTCGTCTCCCTTCGACTCCTCCCATGACCAAGATAGAGTATCCAATGCCGACGACGACCAGCATAACAACCACAATCATGAGTCGCCGCTTCCGCGCCGCCAGCTCGCCGTTCTCGCTATCATCGCCCTGGCCGAGCAAACTGCGCTGAACTCCATCTCCCCCTACCTCCCACAGATGGTGGCCTCTTTCCCCTCAACAGACACATCACGAATCGGTCTATATGTCGGCGCAATCGCCTCGTCGTTTGCTGCCGCGCAACTCCTCACGAATTACTTCTGGGGCTCACTCTCCGACCGCATCGGGCGCAAACCAGTTATCCTCCTCGGTGCCATCCTCACGGCTGCGGCATTCGTAGGGTTCGGGTTCTGCACAAAGCTATGGCATGCGATCCTTGTGCAAGCTATAATGGGAATTGTAAACGGGAATCAGGGACTCATCAGTACGTGTCTGGGCGAGATCACGGACCGCTCAAATCAAGGCCGCGCTTTCGTCTGGCTGCCCGTCATCTACGGTGTAGGCGCCATCTCAGGGCCGGCACTAGGCGGATTGTTAGTGCAAGGAGAGTCCAGTGCGAAGAAACCATCCTACCCGTTCTTACTCCCGAATCTGGTTGCGGCTGTCATACTGGTGGTGGAATTTACAGTTACCCTGATATTCCTCGAAGAGAGCCTCGAGGAGGCCAAAGACCTCCCACCGCTACAAGACAGAGTCAGAGCCTTCTTCTCATGGATGTGGCAGTTCGCCTCCGGTGCCATCCGCCCAACCTACACCCGACGCGGTCCCCTCCACCACCACGGCCACCGCCGAGTCCACTCCCATAGCTCTACCATCTCGAGCACAAGCAGCACCTCCCCCTCCTCCTCCCTCCTCCATGACATCTTCGCTGGCCCATATACCTCCATCCCCATCAAAGACCCCCTCAGCGGCACCACCCTCCTCCTCCTATCCACCTACTTCGTCTTCCAGCTCTCCAACGCATCCTTCAACGCCCTCTACCCCGTCTTCGCCTTCGCCGACCCCCCACTCGGCCGCAATATCCCCGCCCGAGATATTGGTTTCTCTCTCTCCGCCGCCGGTGTCGCTACAATTATGTTCCAGGTCCTCATCTTCGGCCGCCTACGCGACAAGATGGGGAACAAAGCGACATACCGCGCGGGCCTGGGCTTATTCGCCGTTGCCCTCCTCGCAACCCCGACCGTACCATTCGCAGACTCTAAGCCGCCATTCAAGTTCCTCACAGGACACATGTGGATGTGGGCACACCTCTCCCTCGTACTCCTCGCCAAGACAGTAGCATCCGTAGGCGGCCTCTCCAGCGCCCTCCTGCTCATCACCAATTCAGCCCCTGAACCAGAGTGTCTAGGCGCTCTGAACGGGTTGGCGCAAACGCTTAGCTCTGCGGGGCGGGGGGTAGGCCCCGTGATGGCAGGCGGATTATTCAGCGCTGCACCGAAGAATGGGAGGAGTGGTGGTTGGATCCCATTTGGGGTGTTTGGGGGTGTCGCGGTGCTAGGGTTCGTGGCAAGTTGGGGGATTCGGGGCGAGGAGTTGGAGGGAGAGGAGTGGGATGAGGGTGAACATGATGAGGAAGAGGTGTTATAGTGTGGTATATTGGACGATGGGTGCGGAGGTATTCGCGACGACGGACGTGCATGGATTCTGGGTGCAAGGCCATTGATTTTTGGCAACTTGGACACAGCCACAGCCACAGCCAGTCCGAGCGAAATGAACCGTTAATGGTGGACTACGAAAGTCATTCTACCACCATACACCGACCTATCAGCAAATTAACACCCCCATTCCCCACAAAGCAGTGGCTGCAAGATTACCGCAACTATACCAGGTTCCTCGGTTGCTTCTTGAATGAGGCATAGATTAGTACCCTTTCACTGCGCAGTGCAGGGAGGCCGATTTGTCAGCCCAAGTCCAAGTGCAGAGCCGCCCTCCACGCAGGCAAGCGACTTAAGGCAAGAGAAACTAGAACCATGGACGACGTCGCGTTCCATCTCACTGAGCTAAAAGTTTTAAGGACCAGAAATGTGAAGCTACTGCTGGGAGCAAAGAAAGCAAGTGGCTCAACCGTACATTGCTAAATTTTAGAGCGAATCAATTATGATATAAATATTCAGCTTAGCTTTGAGCAAGGGCGATGAGTATATTATTATGGGTATATAGCTTAGAATATGAAAAACATACATATATACCTCACGAAGGATTCGCTAGGAGGTGAACCCTTTGGCCATTGATAAAAAGGTAACTGCTAATAACATGCTTCTGCGTTGGCTCTCGGAACGCAAAGCCGATCAACAACCTCTCCTCGACCTTGTACGCGACCTTTCTTAAAGTGCACAAGTCCGACACGTACGAACACTTCCTCGGGTGCCCGTGTCGGAGCAGAATGGAGACATGGGAGCGGCACAGATAGATGGTTGAATTAATTCAAATGTTCTCCATTGAGACATCGATTAGCCATACATTTACTATAATTACACGTGTAGAGGGACGCCGCCACTCTATTTCTCCATCCTCTCTACTCCCTCTCCATCCTCTCCCTTCTCTCTGCCTCCTCCTCCTCCTCGGCCTCCACCTGAATGATAGCTGCAATAGCCGCTTCGTGTTGGCGGCGGCTAGCGATGCGCCCCTTTCTGCTCTGTATGAGCAGTCGTACAGTGGGGAGTGGACGGGCGAGGGCGCGAGCGCAAGGGCGAGACGACGCGGGGTTTCAGGCGCAGGAGAGGCGACGCGGACTTGGTTATGGTTGGCAGACGAGACACTCCCCGTCTGGAGTCCTCGTTTTACTCCCCTCTGGAGTCCTCGTTTTACCCCCTTTTCCAAAACATCAACCATGGCACTTGCTGGAAACATTTGTGAAGGTGATCCAAGCGGTACTAACCCCGCATACACCCCCCTCACTGCTTCTGCTCATCCTGACTTACACCTGTCTCACTCTCGCGGCACCTAGCGTCATGCTAAACAACTTTTTTTCGGTATCCACTCGCTTTACCCTTGATCGCTTCTCTAGCCCTTCTTTCTTCATTGGTATCTTTTCCGATGTTGCAGTCTCTGGCCGAACTCAGCATAGGCTTTTATACCACGGGTAAATGGACTTTTTACGGCGAATTTCGCAGCCGTACCATTTCACAGTATCATCGAAATACTCCATCCCCTCCAACTTGCTTCAAGTTATCAATCATCCAAAAACCACGACGCACTAGCATATAGCGCACACGGAACACCACTCTCGATTCAACACACTTCATTTCACCCCCCCCCCCCCCCCCCCCCGAATCTACAAAATACCCCTCTTCCAAACGCCGAAACCCACAATCCCTAGCTCCCCTCCCTTTCCTAGCTTCCAAATAGATAGATACTCGGCAGGGGTAATATATGCGGGATGAAAAAATCCAACCCGCCATTTCCTCCTCTTTTCATCCATCCATCCTCTCTTCCATATCGTCGATTTTCGTTTATTCCCTACCAGGGTATTACCATATCTCATCCCCCACATTCGTCATCTATCATCCAAAGCCCCCTGCCCCAACCCCCCCACCAATTCATCACTCTTCCTCCCTCCAACCACAGCGCTAGGGTCCAGCCCCATCCATCCATCCATGCATCGGCGCCGCGCCTTTTTTTTATTACTTGCTCAGGCAGGAGGTATGCCCCATTACATCACCGCGCACTCGCCCTCATTCTGTTTCCCCACCTTGCTACGCGAGATGCGCTCGCGGTTCGGGAGGCCCTTGCCGCCTGAGCGCTTCAGCTCCTCGAGGCGCTCCCGTGCTTGCGGGAAGTTCTGGGCTGGTTGGTGTTAGTCTTGTTCAACAAAAGACGCAAGGGATAAAATTCACTCACCAGCAGCTCTCCAATACCACCGCTTCGCCCCCTCAATATCCTGCGTGCTCCCAATCCCCATCTCCGTAAAATACCCCATCGCATACTCCGCCTTCGCCAGCCCTGCCATCGCCGCCTTGCGCGCCCACAGATACGCCTCCGTATCACTCTGCGCCAGGATCATCTGTCCGCTGCGCTCATCCTTCGCACCAGTAAGATACCACCCACTGAGCGCCAACTCGCTCTGGTGCTCTTCCTGCACCGCAGCGCGGGAGTACCACTGGATACTCTCCTTGGGGTTGATAGCCAGCCCGAATAGCCCGTACTCGTGCGCGGCGCCCAGACGGAACTGGCTGAACTTGTACCCCAGCTCGGCCGCCTGCTTGAACAGGGTAAGACTGTACGCCTCGTCGCGAACCACGCTGGTGTCCTGGCTCTGTGACGCGGAGAAGAGGAGTGCCAGCTCGTGCAGCGCGTGGGGATTCTCGGCGTCCGCAAGGTCTGCGGCACGCTTGAGCCACATCTCCGCTTCGCGCATTCTTCTGCTGCCCGAGGAGGCCCTTCAGTTGGATCATACCCATCTTGTACATGGCTGGGGGGTCACCCAGGGTTGCGGCGCGCTTGTACCATTGCATCGCCTTCAGTGGGTCCTTGCGCGTCCCGCCGCCGTCTTCTTGCCCGATCTCACAGCACACAGCTGTCCGGTACGCTGCTTGCGCATGGCCCGCCTTGGCAGCGGATTGGTACAGAGTGAAAGCTTGGGAGGGTGAGGTCTCCAGTCCCAGCGCGCCACGCCCGTAGCAGTCGGCAAGGAAAGAACATGGCGTCCATGTTTGGGATCGCGACCATCTTCTTGAGGATCTTGTGCGCCTCGATGACCCAGCGCTCACGTGTCTTGGCACGCGTCTTCGGGTCAGGGATCGTGGCGGCGAGTGTCTCGGAGGCGAGGACCAGCTTACGCGCTAGGACAAGCTGCATGGCTTCGTCCATGGGGTTGTTGCTTACCATGGCGCGCAGGCGCTCCAGCTCGGCTGGCGTGACGATCATCTCGGTTTCAGGTTCTGCGGGTGGCGCGGGCGTGGACGTGGTGGAGGGGTAGCTCGACGGGGCGTGTGTGTGTCCGGAGGCAATGCTGGGGTTGTAGTTGCGGACTGGCGGGGCTTGTTGTTCATCTGGTTGGCGGCTGGCTGTTGGTGGCCAGGTCTGTTATGGTGCTGGGTGTGCTGGTAGACCACCTAGTCCGGTGGCTGCTACTATGTGTCAGTTGTATGAATTAAGTACGTTGTGGTA